GGATACGGTTTGACTTCAGCGTGTGACACCTTGATATCACAGGTGGGTAAGACATGCTGGCTTGTCCTGAGGACATGGGGTGGGGGTTTCCAGCATCAGCTGATGATGCCCAGGCACCACACAGAGCCCTGGCTGCTCCTGCAAGCTGGGGAAGCTTATCCCCAGGTAACAATCCCTTAACGAGGAGATTCGTCCTCCAAATCCTTCCGATTCATCCTCCAAATCCTTCCCAGGAGCTTTTCAGGGTGATCAGAGCTGCTCCACACTCTTCAGGGCCCCTTTTCCCCCAGCACCAGCTGATTTCAGTGCTGCCCTCTCACCTTGCAGACCTATGGCAGCAAGAACCTGCTGCGCGTGGGGGTGATCCTGCAGCGGGCCACCATCATCATCCTCCTCTGCTGCTTCCCTTGCTGCGCCCTCCTCATCAACGTCGAGCAGCTGATGCTGCTCATGCAGCAGGATGCTGAGGTCTCCAGGTTGGGTGGTCCCCACATCCCTCCCCACTGTGGAGGGGCTGAGAGGAGGGTGCCCATGGCCCTCCCTGACCCCTCTGTGTGCCCCCAGGCTGACCCAGCACTACGTGAACGCGTTTCTCCCTGCCCTCCCGGTGAGTGCCCTGATGCCACCTGCACACGGACACACGCTGTCCCTGTCCTACAGCTCAGCACTGGCTCATCTCATCCAAAATTTCCTTTGCAGGTGGTTTTTCTGTATAACCTGGAGACAAGATACCTCCAGAACCAGGTAAGTCCCAAAGTCCTCACACCCCCCCTGGCTCAGGGCTCCCTTCCACAGTGCATCCAGAGTTTCCATGCTCACTGTTCCCAGTGACAAGGAGCCCAGGTGCCCCAAAACAGCTCTGACCCTGTAGATCACCCCATTCCACAGCCAGCTGTATCCATCCACCTCCCTTCATACTTCCCCACATCGGGGATTTACATCCATTACACTCATTTTCCAAGCAGGCAGCATCAATGGAAGTCTGGGGTTTTTTTTCTGGGAAAGGCACTGAGGGTGGGGCTGTGGGGACCTTCACACCTCCCTACCAAAACCTTTGGGAAGACCCTCTCATCTCCTCTCTGCAGATGATCATGTGGCCGCTGGTACTGAGTGGGGTCATCGGCAACCTGGTCAATGTGGCTGGAAACTACCTCCTCCTCTACGTGTTCCACCTGGGCATCATGTGAGTGGCACCTGTGCCCCCTGGAGAGGAAAACAGGGTACCTGGCAATGGCAAGGGAACACTGAGCTCACAGGGGTACAGCAGGATGTCTTTTTCCACCCTGAGGGAGGCAGAAGCAGGATGCCAATGACATTTCTCACTTCCTCTGCAGGGGCTCTGGCTGGGCCAACACCATCGCTCAGTATTCACAAACCATTTTCTTGTTCCTGTACATCATAGGCAGGAAACTCCACGTGAATACCTGGGGAGGTAAGGGCATCTCCCCTGCTCCCTGTGTTTCCTGCTTCACCCAGAAATGTCCATAAAACTTCTGTCAGGTTTTCTTGATAGAAGAGGAATTCTGCTCATCCTGATGGTGAAATATTAACCCACCCCCGGGTGCCTCAGTGCTGCTTCAGCGGCGCTCGTCACGCACCAGCACTGGCAGAGCTGTGTCATCAGCACTAAACATTAATTCTGCAGAAATGAAACTTTCTGCTGAGGCCTTGCAAGGTTCAGCCTCAAAGCTGGACGAGCACAGATGTAAGCAGGAGGTTGTTCTTGGACACTGCTCTGGGAGGGATGGGCTGAGGGTTGTGCTGCTCTGTGCTGTAGGTGGACATTGAGCTGATGGAGATCCTGTGCAGTGCTGGCTCTGAGAACAAGAATGGCCCCTCCAGCTGCCCCGGGTGCTGTGCAGGATGTACCACATGGCCAGTCTGGTCATCCCTCAGGTGTCCTTTCTCCTCTCAACAGGCTGGTCCAGAGAGTGCCTGCTGGAGTGGGACAGCTTCACCTCCCTGGCTATCCCCAGCATGCTGATGATGTGCATCGAGTGGTGGACCTACGAGATTGGGAGTTTCTTGATAGGTCAGTAGAGAGAGGAGCTGCCAGGACACGGCCAGGCTTGATCCACAGCCAACACTGACCCCTCCTGTCCCACAGGCCTGCTGAGCGTTGTTGAGCTCTCTGTCCAGTCCATCATCTATGAGGTGTCTGTTGTGGCTTTCATGGTAAGGCTTTCACTGCACACCAGGGCTCCATGGGGGCTGTCCTGAGACAGGCACACAGCAAAACTGGCTCCAGCAAACCCCCAGCTTCCTTCCCCCTCTGCACTGGGATGTCTCCCTGCTCCTGCCTACCCCTCCTTACGGAGATGCTTTAAATCCAATCCTGAGCTCCATCCTGCTCTCTGCTGGGTGGGCATCCCCCCATCACTGTGACAGCTCCGTTGGCAGACACACGTGAGCCCTGTGCTTGCAGATCCCCCTGGGGCTGGGCACGGCTGCCAGTGTGCAGGTGGGCAACGCGCTTGGCGCCGGCAACATCGAGGCGGCCAAGAGATCCTCCAGCACCAGCCTGATCTGCACAGGTCAGTCCACAACAGCCTGGAAACCTCCTCCTGGCCTCCTTCCCATGGAGCAGGGAGTGCTTGCAGTCCTCTGCCTGCCTCTTCTCACCCTGCTCTCCAGCCAGGCTGGGCTCAGCTCTGTGCTGTGTTTTCAGGGGTGTTCTCCGTAATTGTGGGCTCCATTTTAGCTGCCACAAGGAACGTGCTGGGATATGTCTTCACCACAGAGAAGTGAGTGCCCTCAGCTCCTGGCCTCGGTGTGTGGATGTCTGTTTCCAAAAGTGATCCTTGGCTTTCTTCCATCCCCAGGGAAATCGTTGACTTGGTGGCGTGGGTCATGCCTACCTACATTGTCTTCCACTTGTTTGAAGCCATGACTGTAAGTCCCAGGGCATGCTGCTATTTCCCAGGGGGAATCCTAGTGCTCAGCAGCAGCATGGTGGATCAGGCAGTCGAGGGTCCCTCAGGCTGCAGCTGAGCACCAGTGCCCACACCAGGACCCTGCAGAACCCCTGGGATCATCCCTTAGAAAACATGGAGCGCATAAAAGGATGCTGACCCACAGGGCTGGGCAGGACACAGAAATACTGGGCAGGGGCAGGGAGCTGGGTCATCTCCTGAACTGGGCCAAGGTGCTGCTCCCTGCCCCAGCCCCTCTCCCTCTCCTGGCAGGGCGCCTGCAGTGGGGTGCTCAGAGGCGTCGGGAAGCAGAAATTTGGTGCCATCATCAACGCCGTGAGTTACTACGGTGTGGGCATGCCCCTGGCAGCCGTGCTGCTCTTTGTGGCCAGGATCGGCGTCATAGGTACTGACCCCTGGGCACTGCACCCCCAAACCCCTGGGGGCTCAGCACAACCCTCATGCCTGGCTCTGTCCCCCTGCTGACCTGTCTGAACACACTGGGGTGGGCTGGGATGGCTCCTGCAGCTGCTGGGAGCTTTTACCGAGGAAAAGTAACCCCAAAGCAGCACCCATGAGCACCCCGTGTCCCCACCAAAGGGTGACATTCCCTTTCTGGACCTGCTGTCCTGGGATGCTGGGTTGGCTCTGGCTGACGCTGTGTGCCCTCTGCAGGCCTGTGGATCGCGATGCTGGTCTGTGTTTTCATCATCTGCACCTCCTTCCTCACCTACATCTCCCGCCTGGACTGGGAGAAGGCAGCCAAGGAGGTAATCCAGGCACTGGGAATGTCCTCAGTGCCCTGCTGGCATGAGACAGGAGCAAAACCCAGCTCTCCCATGACATCCCTGTGTCCTCCTGCACAAGCACTCGGTGCTTTCAAGGTTTCTCCCTGCACCTCATCCAGGGACACAAAGCCCAGAGCAGACAGGGTGACCCGGGCTACCCCAGCCCTGAGCATCACCTTGTGCCTCAACAGCTCTGGGGAGCCCCAAGAGAGGCAGCCCAGCTCTGCCAGGTGACAATTCCCCATAAAACCAGCACGTTCCCTCTCCAGGCTCAGCGCCGCGCAGGAGTGACCCAGCTGCCAGCGCCGGAGCCACCGAGCCTGGGCCCCGAAACCTCCTGCAAGGACCTGGATGTGGGACCAGCCCCCCAGCCCCACACTTACCTCCCTGCCAGGGCGGTGCTGGGCTCTGTCGGTACGGCAGCATGCAGGGGAGGGTTTGGTGCAGGAAGGGTCCTGAAAGGTTCAAAAACGAGCCCACAAAATGGGGGAGAGCCTCATGTTGGTGACACCCTCAGCTGCTGGGAGAGCAGCAATTACAAGTGTGGGCTCGGGAGGGTGGCAGAGGGACCTCAGGGGGCAGGACCTGGTTGAGATCTCCACTGCTTCAGCCCTGTGACAAAACCCTCCTCAGAAACCCCCCAGTCCCCCCCAAACCCCTCACGGCCCGTTCTCCTCGCAGCGGGATTAGAAGTGCAGAACGATGTCGTGCTCACGGGCATCACCAAGACGGAGGGACCCACGTACCACCTGGAGCTGAGGGAGGCCACCACCCCTCCGGCCACCCCCGTGGTCACCAAGCAGCTGCTCCTCCGGCGTGGGCTGGCCGTGGCCGCAGCCGTGGCCGCGCTGGCCCTCGGCATCGCCGTGAAGCTGATTTTTAGCACAGACTGACTCGCACCAAGGACTCTGGGGACTTGTTTTTGGGTGAAAGCCTTTCCTGAGGGACAGGAGTACCAAGCACGGACAAGCCAGTGAGAAGATGGAGCCAAAGGGCCTCTGTCAGTGTTCAGCAGCGTTTGTGCAGATTTTGGTTGGTCCCCCAGGCTGTTCTGGCACCCAAAATGCTGCTCTGAGCTGCCTGACACACTGAGTGTGTGGGGACCCCCCAGCCCATGCTGCCAACACCCACTGGAGCTGAGCACAGCCCAGCTCCCCATGCTGCTCCATGACAAATGCCCAATAAAGAATAAACCCAGCTGGAGTGGCACTGGCTCCTTGGGGTGGGGGCTGAGGGCAGGGCTGGGGTCAGAACAGGGAATATCCACACACGGGTCTCACCCTGCCTCAGGTGGCCTTCGCAGCAAAATAAAGGTTTTATTCAGCAAGGGTCAAGGGCAGCTCTCAGTTACAAGTTTGGAGGTAAAAGACTATCCATAAATGAATAAACCTCCGAAATTCAGTTACAGAGGAGGCGGCTGTGGCTGCTCTGCCACTCTGGCCAAGGATGCCCGAGACCTGGGACTCCAACTGCAGCAGTGCCCCTGTCTTTGCCCCAGTAGCCCCAAATACAGCAGCACAACAGTCCCTGGCACTTCTCAAGTCCTTGGGACAGCTCAGGTGGCTTTTGCCCACCTTGGATAAATAAAGGTGGTTTCCCTGCAAAGAGCATCACCCATCAGTCGAGGATGAGATGCTGCAGGTTCTTCGAGGCTCCTTTCCCTCTGCTCCGGGACAACCGGCCTGGACTGTCCCCTGCAGTGAGACCCTCATTTCCCAGGCTCATGGCTGTGATGAGCAGCTTCCTCTGGGGATCAGGTGAGGTGTTACAGAGATAACAGGCTCAGTAACGACTGGCTTTGTTTAGATACCCTTGTGACAAACACTCCCAGGCTCCCAGGAGTTTTTAGAGGAGTTACTGTTTACAAAGCAGGGTGGATTTTTTTTTTTTTTTCCTTTTTTTTTGTCTTCTACCTCTCCAGTGCATTGGCTGCCTTGGAAGAAATGAAATCACAGCAAAGAAAAGTTCAGCAGTAGGACTGCAGGGAGCGAGCAGCGGGTCCAAGTGCTGGCTGCCCATCACCCCTCTCGCTGGGGATACAACACCTGGAAAGGCACAAAAACAGGGATGAGTCCTCCAGAGAGGGAGCAGAGCTCAAAGGAACGGGGTGATGAAGGGCTAGGAGGGGCTCAGGGGACAGAGCTGGGAGCACACACCCACAGGGACAGCAGACCCAAAGCTCACCTTTGCCACCACGGCTTTCACAGCCGCCAGCAGGGCCGAGATGAAGTGTCCCACTCTGCTCCTGTTGCACTGCTTCAGCAGGAAGAGCTTGGCCAAATGCACCATCTCCATGCTGCCAGGTGGGTACCTCAGTTTGTTCACAGCCTCCCAGCTCAGGTCCCTGACCAGGCAGGCACGGCGGTGGGAGAAGGTCTCGAAGCTGTGCCTGCCGTGGTAGGCGCCCATCCCGCTGTGGCCTGAGGGACAGGGCCAGGCAGCTCACACCGGGCACAGGGACACCTGCTTTTCTGCAACTCAGTCCCCAGCACACAGGCAAAGCTTGGTCGTGCTGCTTCTCAGGGCAGAGGAGCAATGAGCAGCTTTTTTAATCAGTGAGGACCTGCTCGCTGCCTTGAACGGCTGCTCCTGTGAACCCGCCCTTAAGATGTTAATGACACCAATTATCTCCTCCCAGGGCCAGCCTTGCTTTTCCCACAGAATTCTCACAGGGGTTTCAAGGAGTGGGACGTGAGGAGGACATTAAGCAACACCCAAGATCTCAGCCCTGTGCCCACAGCCAAGTGGTCTCTGCCACAGGAACCTGACAGCAGCCGTGGAAACTCAACCAGCCCATGGACAAATTCATCCCACAGCCCAGCACAGGAGAACCAGAGCTCGCTTGTGCGCCTAACAACCAAAACACTAATGAGCCTTTTTACAAAGCAACCCACCCCAGAAAACATTAACACATTAACGGGAAACGCAGCTGAAATTCCTGAACTCCAAATGGGCAGAGAGCTCCTGGGTGGGGTCAGAGGCTGCTGCTGGTTGAATGCAGGCGCAGGGGCTGGAGCAGGACTCACCCACACCGCCGAAGGGCAGATCTGGGAGCACGGAGTGCATGATGACATCGTTGGCTGTCATGCCACCGCTGGAGGTCTCTGCTATCACCCGTCTGATCAGCTACCCACCGTGGGAGAGGGCACAGAACAAATCAGATGGGACACATCACCATGGACCAGAGCAGGGAGGGTTCACGGTGATGCTTCCATCCCCCTTTGTTCCAGGAGAGAGGCCACTTTACATCACTTAAGCACAGGATCTGCCCAGCTGGAACAGCCACAAAATGCAAAGGCTTCATGTCAGCCCAAGGTGCTCCTCAGCCTCCCACCCAAACTGCCTGGGGCTGTTCTAGGGCAAAGCCCTGACCTGAATTCCTGAGCTGGCACAAACAGAGCCAGGAAAGGAGGCAGAGACAGGGCAGGAAGCAGCACCCACCTGTGTGGGAGGAGATGGACAATCCCAGAGCCCTTCAGCTGGAGACTGGGAGCCTCCAGCAGCTCTGGGGACTCTCATGGCCCCCAAATGCTGCAATTTACGTGGAAAAAGAACTGCCACAGACCCTGCAGAAAGCTGTGACTGGGATCAGCCATGTTCAGGATCCAGCAGTGCAGAGACACTTCCAGGAGGGAGCACAGCCCTGACCCACCTGCTTGTTGTTGGAGAAGACATACAGAGCAAGAGGCTTCTCCCGAAGGTTGATGAACTCAATGGCTTCCTCCACGCTCTTCACAGGCACAATGGGCAGCACTGGTCCAAAGATTTCCTCCTCCATCACCTTGGACTCCGGGGAAACATCCGTCAGGATGGTTGGTGCTGCAGCAAATGGCAGAATGAGAACAGCAAGAGCAGGACACAGACCTGGCCCATCACAGGACATTGGTCAAAGAAGGCACAGACAAACAGACCCCACAAAGCACCCACTACCACCTCCCCCCACAGCAGCTGCCAGGAGCACCTATGAAGCAGGAGGCCTCATCAGACTCTCCCCCATGAGCAATCTTCTGCCCTTCCAGCAGGCTCTTGACCCTCCTGAAGTGACGCTGGTTGATGATCTTTCCATAGTCTGGAGATGACTTCACGTCCTCCCCATAGAATTCCTGCCAAAGGGAACAGCAGAGACAAAAGTGCTCAGCACATCTTCCAACAGCCACAGCTCCAGGAAATCACACCTGGGACAATCTCCACAGCACAAGGGACTCCTCCCTCACCTTCAGAGTCGCCTTGATGTTCTCCACCACCTTGCCCTGGATGGATGGGTCGCACAGGATGTAGTCTGGGGCGATGCAGGTCTGCCCACAGTTCATGTACTTGCCCCACGTTATCCGCCTGTGAGAAGGGAGAAAGGGACGTGGTTTCTCCATGCTCAGTCCCTTCCCCAGCCCTCAGCCCAGCTGCCAGCACCTGAGCTGGGGATGCTGGCCCAGAGATCTGCCCCTGCCCTGCTGCTGAGGGCCCATCCAGGGTGCAACAGCCTGACCTGCAGGCGACAGCCAGGTCACAGTCCTTGTCGATGTAGCAGGGGCTCTTCCCCCCCAGCTCCAGGGTGACAGGGGTCAGGTGCTTGGCAGCTGCTGCCATCACAATTTTGCCCACTGCGGTGTTGCCAGTGTAGAGGATGTGGTCAAATCTCTGGGTCAGCAGCTCGGTTGTCTCAGGAACTCCTCCAGTGACCACAGCATACAGATCCTGCAGGGCAGGGGTGTCAGGGTCACCCCAGCCCAGCACATCACTGTGGCACAGAGAAAATGTCGCCACAGGCCCCCAGCTGAGTAATAATTAGCATTGAATCCATGATTGCAGAAGGCTGACAAATTATTTTGTCATCTTATACTATATTATACTATGCTTATTAAGAAACTCAGTAACCCTTCCAGCCAGCCCAATGCAGCTTTGACCTAATTGGTCAATCCATCCAAACACCATTCATTGTCCAGTTAAGGAATAACCCTTTGGTAAACAAATCTCCATAACACATTCCACATGTGGACAACAGCAGGTGCAACAAGTGGAGATAAGAATTGTTTCTCATTTTTTTCTCTGATCTTCTCAGAGCTTTCCTTAGGAAAACGCCTGGGAAAGTCTGTGCCTGTTTTCTGTGGCCAGAGAGCTGCTGCCACAAGAAACCAGGGGACCAACACGAGGCCACACTTACCTTGTCCAGGTACTGTGGGAGGAGCTCAGCCACCAGCCGAGCCGTGTTCTCACTGACCTCCGACGGCTTCACCACCACGGCATTGCCTGCAGAGCACACCCAGCATGGACACTGAGCCCTCAATCCTCTCCCCACACCCAGCACGGACACTGAGCCCTCAATCCTCTCCCCACACCCAGCATGGACACTGAGCCCTCAATCCTCTCCCCCAACTCAGCCATGGACACTGAGCCCTCAATCCTCTCCCCACACCCAACATGGACACTGAGCCCTCAATGCTCTCCCCACACCCAACATGGACACTGAGCCCTCAATGCTCTCCCCACACTCAGCACAGACACTGAGCCCTCAATGCTCTCCCCACACCCAGCCATGGACACTGAGCCCTCAATGCTCTCCCCACACCCAGCACAGACACTGAGCCCTCAATGCTCTCCCCACACCCAGCCACCACCCCACAAGGCCGGGGCCGTGCTGGAGCCCCACCTGCTGCGATGGCCCCGATCAGGGGCTGCATGACCAGCACAAAGGGGTAGTTCCAGGCCCCGATGACCAGCACCACGCCCAGGGGCTCGTAGCCGATGTACGCCTCGTCCCTCATGGTCAGCAGGTTCTTCTTCACAGGCTGAGGGGCTGCCCAGGACGGCAGCTTCTCCATGGTGAGGGCCAGCTCCCCCAGCACGCCCAGAATTTCATGGCTGTAGGCGTTGGGCCCACTCTGGAACAACATGGAGCTTGGGGAAGGGATGGAAAAGGCACCCCTCCCTCAGCCACCGTGGCACCCTGAGGAGTCAGAGTCATCCAGTTCCACGGTGGGGGACCCCACAAAAACCATTTGTCACTGCAGAGGCAGCCCTCGGCCTTCCTGTTTACCCACTGTCCCTGCACAGCAAAAGGGACAGACACCTGAGAACACAGACCTTGTTCAGGTCCGCCTTGAGGGCTGCCAGGATCTCCTTCTCCTTCTCCTGCACCATCCTCTCCAGCGCCTTCAGCTGCTGAATCCTGAACTCCAGCGGGCGGCTCCGGCCTGATCTGAAGGCGGCCCTGGCTCGTCCCACGATCTGCTGCATCTTCTCCATGGCTGCTGAGGAGACACCGGCGACCCCCGGCTCACCACAGGGCCATGGAGGCCCGTTCAGCCCTGGGAACACTGTGAGTGTCCCACCCTGAGCAGGGCTGGGAGATGTTGTCCTCCTCAGAGAGGAGTTCCCACTCTCGAGCTGAGTGCTCAGGGCTCACAGCATCCAACCCGTTCCACCCACACAGGGCTCCTCTCAGAGCAATCTGGAGTTTGCTGACTGATCCTGTTTTCCAGGGTGCTTTCTCCAAGCCTCAAACCCACCAGCCACTCCGCCCCCAGCTCACAGGGTTTTCCCAAGGAGCCAAAACACAGAGATGACTGTGGCCTGGGTGGGCAGCCAGCTGGAAGCTGAGCTGCATACCCAGAGCTGGCCTGCACCCATGTTCCCCATAACCCTGAGGCCCTCAAATGTCTTCAGAGAAACACAAGACACTGCAGACACTTCACCCTGCATTTCACTCTTCAGTCAGCACCAGAGATCTGCTCCTGCATCTGTGCCCCACCAACCAAGACACCAAGATCCCCTTACAATGATTAAATCTTGCCCTCCCCAGCCCACTGCTACAGCTGCGTGACACAGCTCAAGAAAGCAACTCATTAACAAACAAAGGAAAAAAAGCAAGTTACCTTCAGAGAAGCTTCTCTCTCCACCAGCCTCCTGTGAGGAGTGCAAGCAGGCACAAGCCCTTCCCCTGCCATGGCCGGGGGTGATCCCTCCTCCCACGGCGAGCTGGCCCTGGCCCAGGGCTCTTGCTGGGTACGATGCCCTTTGCCCAGCCCTATCCTGGGCTGTGGAGCTCTGGTGGCTGCTGCCAGCCAGGGCAGGGACTCAGCCTGTGTGGGATGGCACAGACCGCGTGCCTTTGCCCGTGCCTGGCCCACGTGCTGCTGTTGGGACACAACACTCAGGCTCGGGATCTAAAAAACCCCAACCAGGCAGGTGAAAGGTAACCCAGTGTGGATTTGAGAGGGGGAAACAAGCCAGCTCCTCTGCTGGCTCACCCCACTGCCTGCCTGGCTCCAGGAGTGTTCTCAGTGCCCAACAGAGCTCTGGGGGATCTTTCTCAGGGTGCCAGGGACACCTCAGAACACATGTGTGCCATTCAGCCAAGCCATGGCCAGAGCTGAGATCAGCAGAACAGGATTCCTCAGCAGACTGCAAGGACTTACCACACTCGGTTTATTAATTATTAAATTCTCAGTGTTTATTTAGTGCCTTGCAAAAGGTATCGTCCAAAAGGCTTAGCACATGGATTTTCACCAGACATGAAGAAATCCCACTTATTGCACAGTAAATGTAATTATCTACTCTATATTAATTGCATTTAGTAATAATTTTTCAATTTGCTTTAATATTAATAGTTCTAAGGCTCTTTCACCTTCAATTCCTTCAGCATCCTTCCCCCAAGCTAGAACAAGCCCCACATTATCCCCCAGTGCAAGATGACAGAATCCTGAGAAGCTCGAACACGAAGGAGCACACACACTCTTCCAGTAATTGTTTTCCCTTGGAGGAATCTGACCAGGAACAGCTTTGTACAGGCTTTGGCTGGGATGAAGTTAATTTTCCTGTTAGACACTAAGTTTCTTTGTGGAAGGGTGGTCCTGTTTTGGGTTTGTGACATTGGGAGTTAAGGTGTTTTGTCTTCCAAAGTCACCACCGGCTGTGATGATGCCCTGCTCTCCTGGGGATGGCTGAACATCCTGATGAGGGGAATTAATGAACAAATTCCTTAATTTGCTTTGATCTGCCTGCAAGCCCAGTTTTCACTTCACCTATTAAACTATTTTTATCTCAACATACAAGTTTTTTCACTTTCTTCCAATTCTCTTCCCCATCCCACAGGGAAAAAGCAAATGGCTGTGTGGGGCTGGGCTAATCCACAAGGTATTTGTCATTCCCACTTCTCTGAACGGGCCTGAAAGTTCTTTTGCTCCAGCATGAGGCACTCATTAGCACAATACAGGCAGCACAGGCATCACCTTTGGAATTTTCTAACTGCTAAATAACTGTTCAAGGCACAAGGATGAAACACAGAACCCAGCAAGCAGCTCCTGACCAGCTGTGGATGATTCTGGATTGCATTGTGAGAATGTTTCACCTCAATTAAATGGCAAGGGGAACCTCACTGGGTTTATTCACAGCCACCACTCTTGGCCAAATGCATCGGGCAGCACAGCCTGTCTCAGGCTTGTCACCAAGAGGGTGGGTGTTCAGACCATCCCCAAAACTGCAGGGAAAACACTGCCAACCCAAGGATTGCTGAAATTTGGTCACTGAGGGAAGGTGAGTGGTTTGGTGCAGGACACTGTGTGTCCCTGGAAGCTCTGCATGGCATGGGGTGGAGGTAGGGACTGGAATTTCTTGCTCTGCAGTCCTCCTTCGGAGAGCTTGTCCCCACTGGTCCCTCTGTTCCAGCATGGCTTTTAAGTAAACAGGAATCTGAGCCTTCTCGTGGTTAGTGCCTCTCTGAGGCTACTCTGTGTGCTCGACAGCTCACTGAAATCACCCAGAACAAAAGAAAATAATGACTTCCCAGCTTAAGGAAACAGACACAAAGCCAGCACCCAGAGTATGACTTGCACATGGTGCCTTCTCCTCTCTTCATCAGTTAATCACCTGTGAAAGCAAAACACAACACCAAGGTCCTGTGAAGGATCTGCTGAGACAAAACCAATTCCCTTTCTAGAACAGCCTGAAGCAAAACCCCTTCAGCCAGGGGGTTCCCCAAGGTGCAGCTCTCCTGCCCCTCAGCATGCACTGGTTACATCAGATGCCAGGGAAAACATCGTGCTCTGGCTCAGCCCCACATTCACTCATCTATAAAGCTTTTCCCAATCTCAAACTAGGTCTATACAGAGGAGAAGAAAAAGGCTCCTACCTCACTGTGACAGCCACAGCAGTGCTCTGAAACCTGCTCCTCCTTACCACCCACTGGGCCAGCCCAGCCTCTGCACAGCCAGCACAACCAAGAGGGCTTTTCTCTTCAGCACAGACTGGTGGCTCTGAGAAACCCAAATGATTTCAAGATGCTGTGAGTTTCCCCCCCTCTCATTGCCCTACACAGGGCCTGCCTCCCTGGCTGCTGCCTCGAGGTCTGAGCCAGTTCTTGGCTCTTGCATCTCCTCCTGGATTATGTGGGCAGGTTATTTCTCCCCCTGGGATGTTGGGCTCCTGAGTGTCTCCTTGCAGCAGCAACTACACAGAGTGAAGGGCAGAGTTCTGATCCACCCTGCCTCCTCCTGTGCCCTCAGGAGCTGCTCCCTTAAGCTCACTAAACCCCACGGAGCAGTAGGTGAAGGCACATGTAGTGTCTGGTATGTCAGACACGGACAACCAACAGTGATCACGCTTAGAGATTTAGATCTTGCTCCTCCACCTCAGGAGGCATCCTGAGCCTCCTGCAAGCCTCTCCCTCCTGCAGAGAGGAGAGGACATCCCACCCTTCTGCACCACCCAGCTGGAAACAAGGGAGGAAATGGGAATAATTGAGCTGAGGTCAGACAGGGGCTGCAATGGGCGAGGAGGAGGAACAAGAGCTCGTCACAAACCTCGGCTTTGGGACACAGCTTCCCTCCCCAGGGTGCTGTGACACAGATTGCAGCTCTCTGGGCTGTGAGGCAGCTCAAACGCTGCGGAAGGAAGCCCTGGAGTGGAAACCACGCCTAACCAGTCCAAAACTACCAACCTCTGCCTCTGGAGGGAGCATCCCACGGGTGTCACCTACCAGGGAAGAGCAACAAGGAGTACAGCAGCCTGCGAGATCTCTTCGGGGATATTCCTATTCTACAGACAGCTTGCAAGAGTGAGAAGGTCAGAATTTAAGGTGGGACAAATATCATAAATCTCAAGACAGAAAAAAAGGCCAGGCTTTACAAAAGGGCTGCAGTTGCAAAGAACAGATCAGATAAATTGCACGTGCACTGCCACAGACAGCAAAGACCCAAAACTCACCTTAATCATCACCGCTGCCACAAGCCCCAGCAGGGCCAGGACAAAGAGCCCAATTCGGGCCTTGTTAAACCGCTTCAGGAGGAAGAACTTGGCCCAGTCCACCTTCTTCTGGCTGCCCGGTGGGTACCGCATTTTGTTGGCGCTCTCCATCTTCAGGTCCTTGATGAGGCAGGCGCGGCGGTGGGAGAAGGTCTCGAAGCTGTGCCTGCCGTGGTAGGCGCCCATCCCGCTGTGACCTGAGGGACAGGAACAGGCAGCTCACTCCTCAGGCTCAGCCAGCCTAAACTCTGTCCACCTGAGGGCAACTGAGCCTTCCCCTGCAGCACTTCTCAGTCTCTACCATGTCCATCTGCACTCCAACCCTCTTCTTCCTCACCGCATTTCTGATTGCAGCTAATGGTTTTAATGCACCTTACCCAGCAGGCCGCACTAAATGCTTCAGTCTTTCCAAAAATACACCCAAAGGGTTTTCTCTCCTGGCCCCTGTCCTAATGCACTCCCAGAACTTACAATTATTATCATGACCTGCTGCACTAAGACTCTTGAGCTGTAGGAGGCACAGGTATACCAAAACACAAACCATGAGCTGTTGTTCCCTGGGACACACTGTGCAGTAAGTCCCAACTCTTAAGGAGTTCCATTAACTTACCAACACCACCAAAAGGCAAAGTTGAGAGGAAGAAATGCATAATGACATCATTTCCAGTCACACCACCACTGGAGGTTTCCGAGATGACTCTCTTGATTAACTAGAGAAAGAAAAATACACAAACCCAAAGATTAAGAAGGCTCAGAGAAGAGACCAGACCATGTAACTGAGGATACTGGGAAGGAAGCTACATTTCAACAACATTCATCTCCTCTGGCACAGCCCTGACCCACCTGCTTGTTGTTAGAGAAGACATACAGAGCAAGAGGCTTCTCCCGAAGGTTGATGAACTCAATGGCTTCCTCCACGCTCTTCACAGGCACAATGGGCAGCACTGGTCCAAAGATTTCCTCCTCCATCACCTTGGACTCCGGGGAAACATCCGTCAGGATGGTTGGTGCTGCAGCAAATGGGAAAATGAGAACAGCAAGAGCAGGACACAGACCTGGCCCATCACAGGACATTGGTCAAAGAAGGCACAGACAAACAGACCCCACAAAGCACCCACTGCCACCTCCCCCACAGCAGCTGCCAGGAGCACCTATGAAGCAGGAGGCCTCATCAGACTCTCCCCCATGAGCAATCTTCTGCCCTTCCAGCAGGCTCTTGACCCTCCTGAAGTGACGCTGGTTGATGATCCTTTCATAATCCGGAGACGACTTCACGTCCTCCCCATAGAATTCCTGACAAAGAAAACAGCAGAGACAAAAGTGCTCAGCAAATCTTCCAACAGCCACAGCTGCAGGAAATCACACCTGGGACAATCTCCACAGCACAAGGGACTCCTCCCTCACCTTCAGAGTCGCCTTGATGTTCTCCACCACCTTGCTCTGGATGGATGGGTCGCACAGGATGTAGTCTGGGGCGATGCAGGTCTGCCCACAGTTCATGTACTTGCCCCACGTTATCCGCCTGTGAGAAGGGAGAAGGGGATGTGGTTTCTCCATGCTCAGTCCCTTCCCCAGCCCTCAGCCCAGCTGCCAGCACCTGAGCTGGGGATGCTGGCCCAGAGATCTGCCCCTGCCCTGCTGCTGAGGGCCCATCCAGGGTGCAACAGCCTGACCTGCAGGCGACAGCCAGGTCACAGTCCTTGTCGATGTAGCAGGGGCTCTTCCCCCCCAGCTCCAGGGTGACAGGGGTCAGGTGCTTGGCAGCTGCTGCCATCACAATTTTGCCCACTGCAGTGTTGCCAGTGTAGAGGATGTGGTCAAATCTCTGCGTCAGCAGCTCGGTTGTCTCAGGAACTCCTCCAGTGACCACAGCATACAGATCCTGCAGGGCAAACAAGAGCCGGGGAGTTACCTTGATTCAAAGCACTTGCATCAAGGCAGCAGCTCTGCATGTGGCAGAGGGCAGACTTATTTGTGGCCTACTTCATGACAGGGACAAAATAGAGTGGTATTAGAGATATGCTCTGCTCCTTTCCCTGAAATGAAGATTCATTTCTCATTCCATGCCCCACATACTAAAAGAAATGAAGGCTGAGACCAGGGCTCAGCTGTGGAGCTGTTCCCACACAGGAAGAATCAGGGCACATATGACTGCCAGGCTCTCCCAAGGGCTGCCTCCTTCCCCTGCCCCTGCCTCCCACCTAGAGAAGGCTCTAAATCCGTGGAGGAAACTCCACAGGGCCCTGTGCAGTGACAGCAACAGCTTATCTCTGTGACACAGTGCAAGGCATGACAGAACTGCCAGGCAAGAGGAGGAGGAACAACACCTCCTCCAACGAGTGCAGTTCAGCAGGACATGAAAACTCAGGACATGTTGCTATGGAACATAGAGTGCCCAATTCTCAGGAAGAGGCAGGCAGTGCCAGCATCCCACACAACCTGTGCTGACCTAAGGGCATCCCCAGCACAGCTCCAAAAGAGCAGCTCCTGCAGTGAGAAGTGCATACACACCTCTCCATATGGCCATGGGTGGCAAAAAGGCTGTCACACTGCAGCAGAGTTATGTAAGCTCATACACAAACACAGGGAGAAATTGTCAATGTACCTTTGGACTCCAACAGCAACTCAACCCTTCCTGTGCCTCCTGCTTATGCTCCTTTGAAGGGAGCAGCCAATGGATTTGGAACAGGACAGATCCAGAGAGCCATGTCAGGCATGGAGCCACACTCACCTTGTCCAGGTACTGTGGGAGGAGCTCAGCCACCAGCCGAGCCGTGTTCTCACTGACCTCCGATGGCTTCACCACCACAGCATTGCCTGCAGAGCACACCCAGCATGGACACTGAGCCCTCAATCCTCTCCCCACACCCAGCATGGACACTGAGCCCTCAAATGGACACTGAGCCCTCAATCCTCTCCCCACACCCAGCACGGACACTGAGCCCTCAATCCTCTCCCCACACCCAGCACGGACACTGAGCCCTCAATCCTCTCCCCACACCCAGCACGGACACTGAGCCCTCAATCCTCTCCCCACACCCAGCCATGGACACTGAGCCCTCAATCCTCTCCCCACACCCAGCATGGACACTGAGCCCTCAATCCTCTCCCCACACCCAGCCACCACCCCACAAGGCCGGGGCCGTGCTGGAGCCCCACCTGCTGCGATGGCCCCGATCAGGGGCTGCATGACCAGCACAAAGGGGTAGTTCCAGGCCCCGATGACCAGCACCACGCCCAGGGGCTCGTAGCCGATGTACGCCTCGTCCCTCATGGTCAGCAGGTTCTTCTTCACGGGCTGAGGGGCTGCCCAGGACGGCAGCTTCTCCATGGTGAGGGCCAGCTCCCCCAGCACGCCCAGAATTTCATGGCTGTAGGCGCTGGGCCCGCACTGAAACAACATGGAGCTTGGGGAAGGGATGGGAAAGGCACCCACCTCCCTCAGCCACCATCACAGCCCTGCTGCTTCAAAGTGTCCGTCACTGGCAGCGACAAAGGATTCCTGGCCAAAGATGGCCAGTGTGGGTGTGTGAGGCAGAACCCAAAAGCTGACAGCCAGGATTGCCTTTGCAGCTCTGCCTTAGACTAACTCCTTCATAGAAATGGTGGCAGCAGACCTTCCCAGGCCACAGTGGGAGCCAGGGCCAAGGGGCACAAGAGCAAAAGTCATTTAACATAGCAAAGGCAGCCCTTGGCCTTCCCACCTTCCCTTCAGTGCCAACCACTGTCCGTGCACAACTGACGGGAGAAACTCCCCGACCCAGACCTTGTTCAGGTCCGCCTTGAGGGCTGCCAGGATCTCCTTCTCCTTCTCCTGCACCATCCTCTCCAGCGCCTTCAGCTGCTGAATCCTGAACTCCAGCGGGCGGCTCCGGCCCGATCTGAAGGCGGCTCTGGCCCGTCCCACGATCTGCTGCATCTTCTCCATGGCTGCTGAGGAGACACCGGCGACCCCCGGCTCACCACGGAGCCCGGCTTGTCCCCAAAAGCTCGGGACGCGCTCCCCCCTCCAGCCGCGCCCCCGCCCCAGCTCCGGGCTGCGAACCCGCCGCCTTCATCCCTCATTCCTCCGCATCTCTCCGAAGCCTTACGTAACTCCCGAGTTAGAAAAGTTTGAGCAGCAGCGCAGGGCGTTGGTGGCAGCGCGGGGATGTCGCCGCGGAATCCGGGGGCTGCTCCCGGCGGGGCGCACCGCGGTACCGGGCGAGCACACGGCGGGATGGGGACCCCCCTATCCCCCGAGGAACCGCGGGGACCCCCGAGCGACACCGGTGCTGAGCCACAAGCGTGGCAGCGGCTGCAGCACGGTGGCTCCGGGCTGTCCCCACGGCCGGTGCCCTCCGCCCCGGCCACGACCCTCCGCCCCCGCGGCCCCGCCGCCCACCGGGGTCGCCGCCGCCGCCGCCGCCGCTTCCTTTTTCCGCTCACATGACGGAAGCGGAACGGGCGAGGCCGCGGGGTCGCGGTGGGAGAGAGGAGGAGGAGGAGGAGGAGGAGGAGGAGGAGGAGGAGGAGGAGGAGGAAGCGGAGCGGGGAAAGGACGCGGTGCCGCCGCTACCTTGGGGATGCTCCTGCCGCAGTGCTCCGCGGGCTCGGCAGCGGGGCTGGCACTGCCGGGCCGGTTGTGAAACGCTGCCGGGGCGTGGGGCTGCCCGAGGGGCAGAGTCCCTGCGGAGCCTTATCCGGGCAGGCAGCGGGGAACGAGCGAGGCAACGCGCCCTGCCCTGCCACGGAGGGGGAGAGAAGCCGAAGCCCGGCAGGTGATGTTTTGGGGGAGGCAGGAAGAGCCCGCAGGACGGTGGAATTAACCTTGATACAGTCGTGGTGTGGGAAGCGAGCCAGAAAAATCGCGGGGAAAGGAGCTCGGGCGAGGCTAGGCACATTCCGGTTAAAAATAGACCTGCCACAACTTGTTCTAGGAAAAGCACGGCGATTATTTAAAAATTGTACGCAGGTTGTTACACGCTGCCTCTCATGACACGATTTACCCAGGGCTTTTACTGCTAAAGCTCGTCGGCTGCAGCTGTACCCACTAAATCCATGCCTGCTGCACCTGCTTGGCACACAGGGCTGGCACTTTCTCCTGCAAAGTTGAATCCCATTTTCCCACATCAACACGGCCCTCTGAAGCTGGGAGTGCCTTTTGGCTTCAGATTGTGCAGAACCACAATTCCCCCCAAACACCAAGCTTGCCTTCTGTGGTCAGTTGGCTTCACTACCACCGCCTGGGCTATGGCTCAGCAGGGACATTTCACAAGCTGTAATCACAAATTTTGGCAGTAATCACCCTGCTGTGGAGAAGAATGACAGAAGCAGCTGCTAAAACTTGTGTGCAGGAGGCAACATGAGAAGGAAAAACAGGCTGGGCTTGACAGGGCCCTTTCAGGTGGCGTAAGGAGAAAAGCTGGGTATGCATTGAAGAAAACATGGGTAGAAGCAGGAATGTTCCTCACAAGACCATTGCCTGATGGAAATACTCCCCATATCCTTCAGCATCCTTGCAGGCACAGCAGGTTGGAGCTCTGTGCAGGCCCAAGGGAATTTGGATGAGCGTTAATGGTACTGCAGTCAGAGTAAAAGCCTGAGCTGTCAGCATGGAGCATTACAGTGTGCCTGGGGAAATGGTGCTGCACTGCACCCACCCAGGCTGGCAGCACGAGCAGGGAGCTGGATGGATTCTCCAGAGCTTGTCAAATCCTCACCCATCAGCCCAGAGGGTTTTCATGTCACAACAGTGCTGCTTGTACTTGGCAGCACACACTGGGAGCAAATGTCCCAGCTCCCAGTTATCCCAGTGGTCAGTGGGGATAAACCTGTGCAGCATCCAGGGAGAGAATCCCTTTTTGTCCCTGTCGGGGACATCTTTTGGCCAGCTGGGGACAGGGAACAAGGCTGAGGGCTTTTTTAGCATTACAGAGTCTCAGCTGGGCGAGACGTGGATTTTAGGGAAGTGTGGGATCTTGAGTGAGACAGAGGAATACCCCGTGCTCCCCACGCCTGGGAGCTGGCAGTGTTTTCTATTTTAATTCAATCACTAAGAAACAATGAAGGGAGCTATTTATGGGAAAGCAATGGAACTCCGGAGGAACTGGGAGTGCTGAGGGGGGTTCTAATCTGTAGTTACAGCAGCAAGAGGTGATTTATTGAGAAGCTGAGCTCAAGAATCCCTCCTACCCTCACTCCTTGTAGCCCTGACTCCCCTCTTGGAGTAAATTAACAGCAATTAGACAGGCTGCAGCCCTTTGTGCTCATCCTTACCCTGCTTCCAAAAGCATCCAGCAGAGCGTGGGGAAGGAAGACTTTGGTTTGGAAGACAAACTGTGCAGTATTTGGTTTCATGTGTCCACCAAATAACACAGCTGATCAATAAATGTCCTTTTAGCTGACACACCACACTCAAAGAACTTCCAGTTTTCAGTTACAATCCTTAGTCTCTGCTTAAATGTCTGCCTAGTCTCAAATTCCAAGTGTTTTCTGGAAGTCACATAACTCAGCCAGATCCCAAACCCAAGCAGCACTCGACCATAAAAGCGGGTACAGAAGATGAACAACAGGGAGAGGTTTTTAAGGAACCTACAGGGATCAATGCAGCTCAGTTCATTTATGGCATCACTTGTTTTGAAAGCTCTGGCTGATCTCACATTCGCAAGAAGGAGATACTGTGTCACACACAGCCCTGGTCTGTGGGCTGCATTGTGGCCAGAGTTCAGGCCATGGAAAATGTGAAAGGGACACAAAGAAACAATGGGAATGATTGGCACAAGGACTGCAACAAGACTCAACAGCCCCACTGGCACTCGGCTGGTTTGCAGGCAGCGAGGAGGGGGAGCCTGCCGTGCACAAAAGCCTATTGAAAAGGTGTTTGTCCCAAGGAGCAGTGCCAAGGCTTCCTGCAGCTGGGCTCCAGCTGACTTGGAGACCTCAGGAGAGGGGTTACCCTGATGGAATCCACTCCTCTGCAAAAAGGAGGAGCCGTGGGGGCACTCTGCGAAAAGCCACAGCCAGGACCATGGCTCAGGTCACATGGGGAAGTTCAGGATAAAAAGAGATTTGCTTAAAGACTTAAAAGGCATCCTGGACTGTCAAAAAAGATAGTGGCAAGCAGAGCTCAGAGAAGACAAAAAAGTCAAAGGATCAAAATGTAAATTAAAAAGCCCCCCAAAACAGGAGAGGAAGCAGGAATCAGAAAGGAGGTGGGACAGAAGTCAGGTCACAAGCGAGCTTATCTGAATTTCAAAGCCTCAACAAGCTTTGGAAGCAGCAGGATCCAGCTTTCCCTGCTCCAGATGAAAAGCAAGTTTCCCTTTTTGGTGTAGCTGGGCACCGAATTGGGACATGAGTGAATCACAAGTTATTGCCTCTGAACCCTGAGGAGATGTGGCAATAACTTGATGTAGCTGTACAAAATAACAGCAAGAACTACGCAAAACCCAGGCAGTCCCAGGATCAGCTCCCTCCCAAAAATGCTCCTTGGAATAACTTGTAGCATCTTAGTTGCAAGTTAAATTAACAGGATTTCCTCCTCTGTGTCAGAGGAAGGGTTGGGAGTTCAACTTCTTGCTTATGAAAAGCAGCAAATGTCAGAATCAAAATGTGTTTTAGATTCCTCAGCTGACATTTTGTAAAATTGGACAGAGTGGAGCAAGTGCAGGACACTCAAGGAGATGCTGGAGAGCTGAGCTAGAAAAGCACAGCAAATCTCTCCTTTCAAGTTCATCTTTGAAAGGCTGGGGAAAAAAAGGTATTTATTAAAAACAAGCACCTGCTGTTCAGCACAGAGAGCCAAAGACAGAGGACAACTTCAGGATCTTTGTGGAATGAGTTTATGCAGAAAGACCGGCCCTGAGCATTGGTCTCCTCCTTCTGAAAACAGCCAGCAAGAATAGCCCTTTTCTTCTCCTCCTGTTTGTGCAGCTGTAGCCTTGCTGGCAAGAGGGGAAGGAGAACGAGCTTGAATCCTGAAAGAAGAGAAAGAAAACCAACAAAACCCAGTGAGTTCCCGAGAAAAGCAGCCTATCTCCTAGACTTGTGCATTAAGGCTGTTGCTTTGTTCCTACATTCAGGCTCAGACATATCATTAGCATTCCCAGCTCGCTCCTTCCTCATCCTCTTTATGTGCCACTCACAAGTGGAGGGGTTTTTAATAATAAATTGAGGAAAATTTGACAGTACAACTCAAAAATACAATATCCACACAGCAGCTACCACAGCATACCTCAGCTGGGCAGAGGGTATGAGCTGTGAGGTGAACAAAGCCCATTTTTTGTCAGCTTTGGATAGAAATTGTAACTTCCTGCCAGCTTTTGTCAATTAGCTCTGTATTTGCTGTTCTGGCACCCCAAACAGCTCTCCTTTGCTAGAAGCAACAAATAATCACCTTGTTGAAAGATCATACAGCTGTTACCCAGGATCCTACTTAGCATTTTTGTCTTACAATCCAAGTTAAAAAAAAAAAAAATTGAAAAAAAGAAGATGCAGGGTAAATTGTCTTCCTAAAGCCAGGAAAAAACAAACTCAGGGAGCTGAGCTATCCAGAGATGATGAACTCAAGGATGCTGCCCCCATCCTGCCCTGCTGGCAGGTCCAGATGCTGAGGGGAACATTCAACAACTTCTTAACCTAGGCAAGCAGAGAATTTTTCCTAAATTTAACACCTCTGGTCACAGAGACACAGAAACTCAGTTGTACCATAGAAACACTTCTAGTGTCAGTATTTATTTTTACCTTAATATACATTTATACAGGCCATAATAAAAAGGCTATTACGCAACGGTTCAGTGAGTTATTACCTAGTTCCAAGAATAATGCATGCAATTACAAAGGAGAGGTAGAAACACCGTATTAAAGACCTAAAAATACAAACATTATATAAACAAACACTTTCAAATTAACTGTTGGAATTTCATACAGATAAATAAGGTAAAAAGTACATTACTCTGTCAAAGTAAAGGAAACACATGGTTATCCCAACACTGAAACAATATTTTGATGTGTAAGCCCTGTACAACTTTGTCAAATAGTTCAGACCACTGTGTTTAAGAGGATTAAAATGATTTTGTCCTGGAGAATGGTTTATTCAAGTATTCAAGCAGTTGAGTAACAAAAAAGTCCCAAAAACAAAGTATAGGAACCATTTCCAGAGAAGCTAATCTGCCTAAATACTTTTCAAATTGCTGTCCTGATGATCTCATGGGATGCTTGAAATGACAATGCCTATAAGGCTAAATTAAGCTTCCCACCTCTCCCCCAAAATGCACACAAAATAATCCTGATTTTTCACACACCCTATATGTAGAGATTCTACATCATTTTATCAGCATTTCAAACCACAACATTATTTTCTGGTTTGTATTTTTATCTTTTTTTTTTTTTTTTGCATGGTTCCTTGCAGAACCTTTCAGTTTACAGTATGTATTGTAAT